CAGGTTCCAGTATCCCTGTTTCTCTAAAAGGCTAGGCACACCCTGCAGCACCCCGATGGTTTCCCTGCAGCTTAGAGAGTGCACTGGCCCACTGTTTGGGGGCCATGTACACACATGACACTCAATGGCAGTGAGTTTGTGTTTGTTTGTTTGGGGTCTATCTACCATCCTCAGAGTGGCCGCATCCCTGCCTTTACTTGGGGCCAGCATGTGGGGGCAGAAGGGCCATGTGCCAGTCCCACACCTCAACCTTCAGATGCCCCACACATTTTCAATTCCCCTCTTGCCCAATAAAAGACCATGACTTTAAAACCACGGAGCTTGGGGTGGATTTGTCACACATCGATAGTTAATGAGTACATTCTCTCAGCTAGAAAATTGGGCATGACCTTTGATACCTCCCTGTCCGCGCCATGTGGAATCCAAAACTCCCTAAATCAGTAACCACTTGCTATTGCATGCCTGAGCAGAACTGTGCTCCATAGGTTGTGTGATTGTTTTTTTTTTTTTCTGGAAGTATACCCCCAGCCTTTTCTTCCCAGGTGCTGCTAGGCAGACTCAGACCCTCAAACTTTTATCATCCAAGCCCATCCCCTGTTTGCACCACCCAGGGAGCCTCGCTGTCCGGCCTGGGCGCTCCTGAATCGACTCTCTGTGCAGTAGAACAAAACACTGCGTGACCCCGGGCCACTCACTACTGTTGTCATGTTTGAGCCACGGTGGTGGTCCCTGGGTCAGCCATCTCATGGAGGGGCCTCTTCTGTGTTCTTTTTGGCTCTCTGACCCTCTATGAGTGTTCAATAGTCTTCACCAACACCGTCATCCTTCGGGCTCCTACCAAGAAGGAAGAAAAAAAAGACTGCTGCCATCTAGTGGACTGTGACTCTCTGAGACAGGAGGGCTCTTCTCTTGTTCCTTAGGGCGTCCGAGATGAAGCATTGTTAAGGGGACAGCCAGCATCATCTTTCCCCTGTGGAGCAGGCTGGTGGGTTTGAACCGCCAACCTTGCTGTCAGCAGCCCGAGGCTTCATCCACAGCACCACCAGAGCTTCCTGACGGCTCCTTGCAGTCGCAGAAACCCAGAAGGGGGCAGTCTGACACGGTCCTTTGAGCTTGTTATGGGTCAGGGTGAACTCCACGGCCTAAGTTAGTTTGATTTGGTTTGGTTTGAGAGCTTCTAGATTATGGGGGAAGCCAGCCTCCCCGCCCCCCCCCCAACTAATCACGGGCTCTGTAGGCTCAGTTGTACGGTTAAAAAATATATAGAGATTATAATAAAGTCATAGAGAGATAGGACAGAGAGAGAGAGTAAAATAAAGAAATCAGACACATTTCATGGTAGCGTGCTCACCTCCTGGATGGCGATGATCTCACCAGCCAGGTTCACACACAGCGTGGGCAGAGAGGTCAGGAAGATTCTTTTTAAAATTTCTGATGAAGGCCCATATATACATAAGTGGGCGTGATTACAGGTAACCACACATGTCACAGTAAGGGGCTATTCAATAGGGGGCATAAGCATGGCAGGAAGGGGATGGTCTAGGGGTATATGTGACAAGATGGGCAGACCCCAGATTCAATATGGCAGCCTAACCTTGAGTGGGCTTGACCTCTCTGGGTTCTCCTTCAGGGGAACAATCTACTATCCTTACTAAAAGGGAATGGGTCCTACTTAGGGTGGGACAGACTGTACAGTCTGATTGCTCTAGATGACTGACAACCCCCAGGGAGAATAACCTCTGATCTACTTTTGTTGACCTCCTAGTGTATAGTCATTTACCATGTGTAGCAAGCAGCTAGGTTTGGCATATATTTGGGGTAGACAACTTGGGAGAAATCCTTCTGTATCCCACACTAGATGTCTCATGAATCCGGCACCTTCTCTCCCTCTCTCCACCTCTAACTCAAGGCTCCATCTTTTCTTAGGCCTCCTAAAACCATGCTGGGCCTGATTTTTTCTCCCCGCCCATTTTCCTGATTTTTCCTCCCCACCCATTTTCCTGATTTTTTTCCTCCCCACTCGTTTTCCTGATTTTCCTCCCCACCCTTTCCCACCCAGCATTGTGAGAGGCCATTCTAATGCTGCAAATCTGAGCCCCTGAGCTCTGCAAGGAGTCTTCCTTGGCCACAGGCTGTGCTTCAGGGAGGCCCTGGATAAACAGGGAAGCCTTCCTGGGGCCAATGAACAGCCTGGCTATTAAGGAGATGTCTTCACAGTAGTTGCTGCGGTGTCCCCACAAGCCCAGGATAGGGGTTTCCTTAATAGGTTCTATATGGAGAGCTAGGTTCCAGCTCAGGGCATGATAAGAAGCAGCATCAATAGAGACCAGCCTCAGGGCCTGGGGATCCCAGCCAGACAGCACTGCCCCAACGGCTCCCAGAACACCCTCTTCTACTGAAGGTGCCTTTTCAGGGTGTGGGGAGGAGAGGGCAGGAGCAGGAGAGGCACTCCACCGCTTGGAAACAAGATTTCTGCCTTCATTCCTTGATAATGACTGAGTAGTAGGTTATACATTGGGCTGCTAACAGCAAGGTCAGCAGTTCGAAACCATCAGCCGCTCTCCAGAGAAAACGATGAGGCTTTCTACTCCTAAAAGTCTTGGACACCCACAAGGGCGGTTCTCCTCGGTCCAACAGGGTCCCTATGAGTTGGGGTGGGCTCAATGGCAGTGAGTGAGCGCCAGAGGCAAAGGGGCTCTCCGACCTCCTGGTGGGTCACACTGAAGGGAGGGGCTGCAGGTCAAAAGAAAGAATGGGTCACGAGAATGAGGACAATTCCACAGCCCATGGAGAAGGACACATCTGAACAAGGCAAGGCTCCCGATGAGGCAACCTGGAAAGGAGCCAGGGACCATGGCCTTCAGGAGCCATTTGTAAATGCCCCAGGCTGCCCCGTGCTGCTCTCTGCCACCCTTGATGTTTACCAGTTAAACATGCAGAATCTGGATGTGGCCTCCCTGGATTAGGACTCAGCTCTGCCAGTGATCTTGGAACCTTGAGCTAAGGTAACTCACTCTTATGTCTTCATTTCTCCTTCTGTATACGGAGGATGATAACGGACAGAAACTTCTATTTTTTTTTCTTTTTATTTTTATTTTTTTAATTTTTTTTTCCAGAAATTTCTAAATGAACTCCTACGGGAAGAAGTCAGAGCAGCCATGATCTTGGGGGTTAGACTGTGAAGGCTCACGAGGAAGACTTCTGGGACGCTGGAAAGGAAGGTTCTAGTCTTGACCTCAGTAGTGTCGCCACTATGTGTACGTGTGCAGACAAAGCCTTTGAGCACCTACAGTGTGTGCACCTTACCCACTCCACTGAATTTCACACCTCACGTGCGAATGTCAAAAACGGAGATGACAACACCTACCTCTCGCATCCCTGTGGAGATGGAATGTGTTCCAAAGTCAGTCGCATCACGACTCCCCCCATGCCCAGCGTGGACTATTATCATAGTGGGCGGTACTCGCTGGTGGGACAGTGTGTGTTGTTGTGTGTGTGGGGGGGAGGGCACACACTTTGACAACTTGTTCCAGCAACAAGGCTCTTGTCTGAACCCGATGTACCTCACAGCTCACCAGTGGAGGGGAGCGAGGTCATCTGACTCTGGCAGTCATGGGAGAAAAGCCCTTGGTCAAGTGCTGAGTCAACAAGCAGGCTACCCCCATGGAATGAGGGGGCGTGAAGGCGTTCCACGCCAGGGAAATGGCTGGAGTCCTTAGTGCAGTGGTTCTCAACCTTCCTAATGCCACCACCCTTTAATACAGTTTCTCATGTGTGGTGACCCCCAACCATAAAATTATTTTCGTTGCTATTTTATCACTGTCTTTTTGCTACTGTGATGAATCGGGCGACCCCTGTGAAAGGGTCGGTCAACCACCAAAGGGGTCGTGACCCACAGGTTGAGAACCACTGCCTTAGTGGGTCTCTTTCTGGTTGTCCTCTTCTTTCCCCCACATCTGGTGCACACCAAACCATCAACACCAGCTGACCACAAGTGGGAACAAGCAAACCCCACTTCATTTGGGACATGTGGTAGTCTGCTGTTTAATACCGAGGGAACATGTGGCTCCTGTCAGCGCTGGGAAACCACCACTCAGATACTGGGTCAGTAAAGGGCATGTCGGAGCCCAATCTTTAGACACATTTCTGAAGTAACCACTATGGGTGGGCCAGCTGCTCCAGGGCCCTAGAGTCAGCCATGGAGGTATGCCCTGGAGGGGCAGGCAAGGACAGGGTCAGCTTCAGGGGGCTTGAAACCTCTGGTCCAGGCGTCCGGGAGGGGAGCCGACTGCGCTGGCAGAAGGCCTGTGCAGCGGCAGACATGGGTGGCAGGAGGCGAGGGGTGGGTGAGGGCGTCAGGCGTCCATGCGTGCACAGGTGCAAAGCCCCAAGGCCCTGAAGCTGTCCAAGCGCCCGCGCCCGCGCGCCCAGCAGGCGGCGCCAGAGCACAAGCCGGGCCTCGTGACTCGGGTCCC